CCTTCACGTCGTTTAGTGCTGCAGACACAAAGCAGTTGGGAGAGACGGAGCTGTCAGCAGCTCTTCCCTGGCAGGTAGCATTGCCTGGCAGGTTCACCTGCAGAGGAACGAGTCTTCATCTGCAGAATCCATGTTATTGGTGACCAGGATCGAGCATGCCATTTATACGGCCCCCATTGATTCCACGGAGTGTTTTCAGAGCACAATTATGTTCTTGATCTAGCCTCTAACTTTCAAAAATACTTTTAGGTTTTGCACAAGAGTTGCTTGAAGGTAAGCATGGATTGCAGTTAAAAGCATTCCCAATCTATTGCCTGCAAAGAAGAAATACTTTTTAAATATTGTGTTTGGATGCCTCCCCTTCCCCTACTAAAATCAGCTCTAAAACTCTGACTTCCAGTCCTTTCTAGTGGGGCCCGATGTGTCCCAGGGCCCACATCTAGGCACAAGAGTGACTTTACATACATGAATGGTCCCCGGAGTTCAGTCACGTGCATAAAGCTATCTGTGTGCACAAGTCCTTGTGGAATCAGGGCCTTAGTCGAACCTGCTTCGTTTAGCCGTCAACCGAGGGGTCTCCTGTTTGACTAGTCATTATTTCATTGTCAGCTGATGCAGAGGTTAGGTGCTCTTTGATACTGTTCTTTCAGCTTTCCCCTCCTCTGTGTGCTGCAGTGCCCAAAAGGGATATGTGGATCCCTTAATCAGATATCACACTGACATTAGCTGTCCCTATATACGATACCTAGATACATTCAGCCTCAGCAAGCATTTGTGAGCACTCTTTTCAGGATAGCTACTGGGTAGTTAACAGCGCCTAGAGGATGCTCGAAGGAAGACTGTTACAATAAGAAACCGAGGTTAAAAATAGTTTTTAATCCATGCTTAGCAATGGGGCTAGCATGAACAATCAGACATTAGCTTAGTGTGGGAGGGATCTCCCTCAGCCAAGTGAGATAGAGCTAGAAGTCATCTGACAGAGCGGTGAGGGAGGTCACACATTACCCTCTGCCTGGGGATCTTCCCATGTTTAAGGCTGGCTGTGCTACAAAATCAGCTCATCACAGGAGAAAAGGTTTTAAATATACTTTTCTTCTCTGGATAATGTATCAGTCAACTCTTCACATTTCTCTCCCAAGGATTTGGGTAGAGGTGATGGGTTTGGGGTTTCCTGTCCAGAGAAGAATGATAAAGGCTAAACTAAAGGTAAGAATAAATTCTTGGAAATAGCCCCTAAAAACTGCCCTGAGTCAAAACAGACCTTCAGTGCAGGGCCTCATTCATGAGACCTTTCTATCTTTAGCCTGGTAACGCTAAGCTCTTGAGTCTCATCGTAGTCAACTGGCTTTGGCAACAAGTTTTTGAGGGCAAGAACCTAACAGGAGGTGCTCCAAGTCACTTCTCAGGAGGAACTAGTCTTTCTCCCTTGCTTTACAGAGGGCTTGTTGTGCTCAGACCTGTGTATAGCTCTGCAGGAGACAATGGGCTCTGTGCTAATTCTGCAACATTCTCTCTCAAGCTTCTTATCCCAAACCACCCCAGAGCGTCTAAGGATGGATGCTGTGCCAGCTTCCTCACCCACGCCATACGGCAGTGTCAGCTTCACAAAGAAAACGGCAGGCACAGCCGTCCTGCTGATGCTGGTCCCTATTGCTTTTCTGCATCTTTCTGCAGAGCAGAGCCTGTCTAGCTGTTTGCTCCTCTGGAGAGCTTTGCTATGGTAATGACATGGTTGGCGTGAGTACTTGTTTTTAATTTTATGACCCTTGTAGCCCTAGAGCAGGATCAAAATTATTTAGCAGGGAAGGGGAGAATGTTATTTTAGGCCCAGATGTTGTAATTTGAGCTGGGCAAGCAGACTGCACTAGCTTCAGCGGGACTCTGGCCAGCAGCATGGATCTCCCACCTCACCCTGAGCAGGTTGTAGGTTTATTGGGGAACCAGAGTGCTACCTCAGAGGATGTCCTTCAAGTCTGACAGGTTTTACAGAATGTGCACAGTAGCTGTAAAAACTTTTTTTGAGACGTGCTGGAGCACTGATTAAAGTCGTGAAACAGAAACGAAATATGTGTAAATGGTGAGCATTCAAGTAGCTTATTAAGAAAAAGGAAAAGCATCGTACCTCAGCTACATGGCGTATTTTTTAAAAAATGCTTTTCCATAGAAGGCAACATTGGGTTAAATCTGCTCATCCCAGAACTGGACTGTACCTGCCTTCGTTTCGCAACTCTTGTAATCAAGAGCTTACCAGCAAGTACAAGACCTGCCCATAACGTCCCAGAAGACTCAAGTCTTTGTACAAGCTAAACAGTATCTCGCTCCAGCACAGGTTCCCCTGGCACCACTGACCAGTGCGAGTAAGAATCCAATCCTAAACAAATGTTAGGGTGCAGTAGTTGTGGAAAACAAGGGTGCGCGCTGCCAAGTATGAGGTAGCCTACATGCCTGCTCCTCTCTGCAGGAAGTCGCTTTCAGAGCCCTAATGCCTCCTCAAAGCCGTGAGGCTCCTCAAATATATAAAACAAATACTCCGGTGGAGCAGCTCCCTTTCCTCTCATCCAACAAGCCCTGGGGCTGTCCGGCTTTGCCTCCGAAAATGAAGGCCAGCTCTAAAGGGACCACGGGAGGGGATACAAATTTTGTGCAGTGTCATCCTGCTGGTTTTGGCATTCGGCTGTGCTGACCGAGCACAGCCTAACCTTTTCCCCCGGCGCTGTCTCAGTTTGGCCTTAGAACTTTTTTTTCTTTCCGTCCACTTGGCTTTGGCTCTGGCATGGCAGAAAGGGCGCACGCTGTGTTTATAAAATCCCTCTGCCACCTGGCAGCAGCGATCAGATGGGTGTGCAGCAGAGGAATTTTTTTCCCCTTGCCCTCCACGGGGTAGAAAAGCACTGAAATTACCCTTTGCTTATTCTTTTCTTCAGCTCCTGAGGCCAAAACAAACTTTGTGAAAGAAGGAGCTCAGAAATATAAACAGAGTAATTGAAAAATACTTTTCTTTCTTTTATAAAAAGCAGCCTCAAATGTTATAAAGCAGACTGCTTTGCTCTCCGGTCCCAATAGCAGCTCGGGTCTAATGGCAGCTGCCCGGCACTGCACTCCAGACCCCTCGGATGGTGTCACACTCGCTGACGAGAAGTAAAATTCAGCCCTGTTCCAAAGGCCAGCTCAAGACAGCAGCTAAGCCCCCATAAGCCCTAAGAACAATTGAAGGCACAAGAGGAACCAAATAAAAGATTATTACAAAGACCGGGATTTTCTAAGTCAAGGCAGCACCTGGCTGAAATCACAACGTAAACAGCCCAGAGTGTATCTTGGTAGTAGCTATGTTCTCGGAGAGCTACACGAGACCAAAATAACCCTTAGCTAGCTAATGAAATGATACTTGAAAAACATTTCCAAAGCTACTGGCTGTTTTTTGGATTGTTATCGCAAAGAGCAGCACATGGGCTTAAGAGATTGAAATATCCCAGTGCAGTGGGATAAAAACATGCCAAAACTCAGGCCATGCTCCATGTGACCTGGCTGCTTCCAGAAACCTGAGGGACCTCTGAGTCGAGTGCAAGGATATACTTGCCGGCTAGTGTGTCCTCCTGTGGGGTTCGAGTTTTCTTTGGTTGGTTCTTTACTAAATGTGATGCTGCGCCCTGCATGTGTCACCCTGAACATCCTTAGGAATAACTGCACTTCTTACTGAACTAGGGGAACTGCGGGGTGGGAATGCAGTGGTTATTTTGTACCCCCAGCATGACATACACTGGCAGTTTTTAGATAGGGCCGTGCTAAATAACCTAATGCGAATGCAAGGGAGGGAGCTTGTGTTGGCCAGAGTCCAACGTGGCATCTTCATCCTGCAGCAGGCACTGGAGCAGATGCCTACAGCACTGGATGCCTACAGCATCAGCAGTCTTGCAAAACTGTGTGTGTGTGTGTGTGTGTGTGTGCGTGCGTGCGCGCGTGTGCGTGTGTGTATGCGTACGGGCAATACCCGCGCAATGGTCAGGACTCGTTTAAAGTCTTCGCTAGAGGTCTGTAAGAAGGGTCAGTCTGCCTTCAGAGGAATCTAGCAACGCAGTTTCTGGGCAGAGTCCTCTTTGGGCAGCTGCTGCCATGAGCTGTTCTGTGCTGAGTTTCTGATAGGAGTTTGAACGGCTCGCAGAAGAAACCAGATTGTCCAAAGTGGGAGTGATTCACTCTCCTCACTGAGCGAATATGCCAGGCGAAGAGCATTTCACTTGAATCCACTAAAAGGGAGATGAGAGGAGATGGGAGGTGGGAGGCAAGAAAAATCACTGTTTCATGCAGCTGAAAAGTTAAACCCTCATGTTTCTCTTTTTGTTAGATATGTTATCATTGCTATTCTGCTGAGAATAATGCCTCTGTTGTAAGCCCAGCTGAAGATTTCTGGCTTATCAAGTTCAAGGCAAAGGAGAAGATATAGATTTGAAGAGCAAGGGGGAAAGAAAACATAAGGCTTTAATGTCATAGCTTTGGAAACTGAGATGCTTATCTAAGCCTGTTTTGTCCTTTCCTTGATTATGTTACTTTGAGTTTGGACAAGCAAACCAGGCTGGCCAACCTCACTTCTGTTTCTTCTCAGCTCACTCTCTGAAAATTATATCGTCATAGATACACACGCAGATATGCTTCTCATATAGGACAGTTTCACGTTAAACTTGCTGAAGTCGGTTGTCAGGAGGACTCAAAAGTGCTGAATCTGCTGAATTCAGGCACAGAAAGCAGCAGCTTGGTCCACCAGCCAAAGCCCCACGCTGGTGTCGGCAGATACGACCTGCTCTCCGGGCTCTGCAAATGACCTGTGAGAGGTCAGGCAGGTCACATCGCTTTTTTGTGCCTTGGTTTTCAAATCTGTCACAGAGTAGTAAGAGTGTTCGCACACTGGTTGGAAACAGCTTATGCATAAACTATGCTAAATGCCCATTAATGCAGTGGGGAGCAGAGTAAAACTGTGTATTTGCGTTCTTGTCCTCCTGCTGCAGAGACTTAGGAAATAGGACTGTTCAGAAGACATCTCCTGAGCCAGGAGATGATGATGATGATGATGATAGCAACCTCTACCGTTACCGACCTTCATCATTAGAGTCCTGACCATGCTTGTCACACGAACGCAGATGATCATGTCCCAGACACTGCTGCAAATTTGCCTTGAAACATTATACCAGTATACAGCCACAGTGACCTCAAATAAGGCAGCTTGCTATTTAGTTCAAATGCAGTATTTGTGATATTGCTTTGGAAAACGGCAGGCTTTTGCTTTGCTTTGCTTTGCTTTGCTTTGCTTTGAATATGCAGTTGCTTCATAGTTATTAATGGAAAAGAGTTCCTCCCCAGAATTTTTCTTTTCTCTTCTTCCATTGATTGAAATATTATGCATTTAAACATTGCTAATCTCGATATATCAAATTATTTCCCAAAGACTTGATTCCCACCACTTTTATATGTGTGTAACATCCTTTCAGAACTAATTTATTGCCTTAAAATTGCAATAATCCAGTGGTACAGCCAGATCTGAATAAATGGAGGAGAGACAGCAGAAATGCAGGTGCCAATGTTAGAAGAGAAAGAGATGAATAATGGAAAGAAAAACAAACTAAAGGGATCTCACTAGGTACCATGTAACTCTAAGCTCAACTGAATTGCATCAGTATAAATGAAAGCCTTGTACGGGCCCCCAAATTAGGAACTACTCACAAAACAAAAAGCTTTCCTCAGCAGTGTTGTGTCTGTTCAAACATACTGAATAGCCTGCCTAATGATGCTTTCTTTTTTTATTTGGGTCAGGTCTTGCTGAAGAAGAACTTTTTGAGAAACCAGCACTAAGCATTGCAAAAGACTACATTGTCCTGTCTCCAGGAGACGTCCTAAAAATAAAATGCAGGTAAGGATTGCTCCAGCAGCGCTGGATATCCTTGGTTGTATTGATTACCTTGGCACAGTGCAGCTTCTGGATAGGGGAGAGCAAAGATTGCGGTACAGGCATGATCTAGGAACCGGTGCTGTTTTCCTCACATGCATTTCTGTGTGAAGTAGAATTTAACAGGCTGTATTAGAGCAGGGAGGCAAGTATATAGTCAGCATTCAGCTCGGCTGGATCCTGTACATCGTAAAGGGACGCAAACAAACTCCTGAGTCAGCGCACAGGAAGGCTTAAGGGAGGGGGATGTATCTTACTTAAGGACACGGCTGGAAAATCCTCCTCTGCAAATAGGTTCAGATTCGGCATAACTAAAATCAGTCTTTCACTCTCTGTGCGTAAGTAAACGACACACAAGATCACCAGCGTATGTAATCAGCCCATTCTGTATATATGCACTTAAACTTCCTGACCTCAAATACTGTCCAGCCTATGAGATGACAGTTAAATAAACAGCAGTTAGTATGTGTACATTCAAAGGCCTGACCTGTTTGAACAGATCATATTCTTTAAATCAAAGACAGCGAGGACTCATAAAGACCAGACTGTTGATCATAAATTTTGAAGGCTCTTCAGCTCTTGGCACGGTGTGTGAAAACTAGCCCTGTAAGGAAAATGCAAAATGTTGGTAATATGACTTGTGTTTACAGGGAGATGATCCTCTGGAAATGTGGGATATAGAGTGTATGGTCACAGCTGACCGGCAGGCAACTGAGTAGTAAATGCAGAGAGTCAGGGCACTTTCTGCTGTGTCAGAACATGCATTAGCTTGCTCAGTCACACAAAAGGCCTCAGGCTGTGATGTAAGGAGGTGTCACTTGTTCTGAGCGTGATTTATACGCCAAGCTCCTGGGAGATGTTGCTTTTTTAATTTCTTCAGAGAGTGTGGTATGAGAGAAGGTTTAAGGTAGTACAAACTATCCATGATTTCTCTCTCTCTCCAATGCACAGGCACTTTTTTTACACCTTCTGGCAAACTCTGCTTGACTGTTACCCATGGCCGGTACATGTTTAGTTTCTGCAACAGAAGTTACGTGAGACAGTAAGACAACATAGTGGGAAGCTGAATCTAAGCTATAGTTTATGCTGAAACATATGCCCCTTCTGATTTTTGTCCCAGTCTATTTAATTCAGTGTTATAATGAAGGCAAGTGGATTCATACTGCATACACTTGTGATGTTTTCTGCGGTGTAAGACAGTTTTTTCCAAATACCCGCACCTAGCCGGGTGGCTTATGAGGTCAAACTAACCTTACAATGATATTTTTAGTTTGGCAAGCAGCAAGCGTGATGGCAATAAAGTTTAAACTGTCTTTTAAAATCTAAATGCTCCATAAACCATGTTATGTGGACTTGAGTTCAGTGTGGTGCTCCAGGCCAATTAAATCACTACTTTTCAGCAGTTCTCCATCCATTGCCATTTTAATCTGTAGGAACATCCTATTTTTCTCATATCACCAGATGAAGAAATGAATGAAGAAATTATTATTATGTCTTTAACACTTCTGTAGTGTTGGCAGTGATCCCAAACTGCTTCATGGATGTGAAGCAATAAATCCCCTCAGCAGGCCTGAGAGGTAAAAAAGTATTACCTTCCATGTTAACATGGGAACAGAGGCCCAGAGCAGTTCAGTCACTTGCCTCACGTCATACAACAGCTGGGAATAGAAGCTAGAATTGAGATTTCTGCATTTTGAGTGTGAGATTCCCCCTGTATCAGGTTTTCCAATGTCAATCACGTAGACATGAGCACCTGCACACTCACAGATTATCTCCAGACTGGCCCAGAAGGGAACTCTGAAGTTATTCCTATTTCCAAGGAGCATTAGGGCTATGTGGAGTGCAGCACAAGAGAGCAGAAAGAGCTGGTCACCGTTGAAGGCTGAAGTAACTCTGTGTGAATTTCCCTTCTCCCTCAAACTCCATTCTTCTGAGGTTCTTGGCCAGGATTTCCTCATGTTTGGCTGCCTGGCCAGAGCTACTGCTGCTGCTGCTGCTGCTGCTGCAACTCCCCTCCACCAGATGCATAAAAATCCCAAAGCAAAGGCCAAAGTCTTCATCTTCCACCTGGATAAAATATGCCGGTGGAAAAAGTGGGCACGTTTAAGGAAACATAGATGTGTGAAATCCCTTATCCGTTCTGCAGAGCCACTGTTGCAGATTTCCATCCCTGACAGACACCAGGCTGTAGAGCACAGACTGGGTGACAGGAGAGGGGCAGGTACCTGAGCACTCGCTGGGTGTTGACAGTTTGAATGTGAAGCAGCATTGCTCTATTCAGGGCCACGAGTCCCATTTTTTGACAGAGGTGGTCATTATGTCATTAATGACGTTAGTAAGGTTGGGACAGAGCACGGGGTAGGGACTTCCCCATCAAAAAGTAATTCAGCGCTCTGAAGGACAGGAAGCTGGTATGACGGATGAGGTGGGGTTTTTCAAGTCAACAGTGCATCCAAAAACGAGGGTGAGGCTGCTCACCAGAAAGGATATTCACACTTTTCCCAGTGCTCTCATTCAGCTACGTGCTGGGAATAACCTCGAGAGTTCAGCTCCATGTCCGCATCATCTTCAGGAAGGCGACAAAAGGACGGGCAGAAACGAGGGCCAAGAGGATGTTTGTTTAAGTATCACTGAGAGTTTACTGGCAAACACGTTCCCTTGCTGCACCTATTGCACTACTAGAAAGCAACTGGTCCAGAAAGAGTAGAGTTACTAGCTAACTGGAAATCTGACACTGCATGCTTGTTGATGCACAAAGTATGAGCATCTCTATACTGAATGGATGTGTCTAGGCTGGATTTCTCCCTGGCTATATTCAGTCAGGGAACTTTAGAGATTCCTCCTCCTTCCTCAGCTCAGCAAATGCCACTGGGTCAATGGGAATTCATTGAGAAGGGGTGAGTGAACTCCCTGTCCTTTTGAACAGAGTGGCCTCTCTCTGCACACACGGAAAGAGAAACTGCTCCCCTTTAATATTAACACAAACCTGAGCTTCTCCAGAAGAATCCACCAAGACTTGCCCCCAACACTTGAACAGTTTCCACAATGACCAGCAAAAACCAGTCCCCTACAGAAAGACCATAATCTTCATCTCATGAGCACCTAGTACTCGACCAGAGCCCTCCACGTGCATCCCACACTGAACAGAGCTCCAAGAGCTTCTGCTCCCATGGTGTGTCCTGATGTTTCTAATACAACGGGACTAGCATAGCCAGTGCCTGTTACTGAGCTAACTTAGGTCAGGTGAAAGCTCTCTCTGAGTTCCACAACAGGTTATCAAAAGAACTTTGTTTTTGTTGATGAACTATGTAGAATTGTATTTGACATTAGCTGTGATCATAGATAAGACAACGAATAGGTCAGGTGGGTGAAATGGTGTATCTGCCCTACTAGCATTATGTTCTGACCACAGTGACGAGGTGAATAGAAAAAATGTGTCTTGAGCAGATATTCTAAGGTCTGTCATCTGATTAGTTCCAGACCCTTCACAAAATCAAGATTCAGTCACTGCTGATAAAGGAAGAAAGGTGATGAGAAGTTACATAAATGTTCTCTCTCAATGCAGCCTTAAAGTTGAAAGAAAGTATAAGTTAATTTAGCTGTTAAAATATGCAAAGTCCACAGCTTGGAAGAAACATATAATTTTATCTGGTAATTTCTAATGTCTGAAAATATAGTGTTATAAAAAATACATACTGTTATAAAATATAGTGTTATAAAAAAAAGCTTCTGTTCAGGATGTCTCTAAAAAAATTAAACTCCCCTCCAGGAATTAGCTTGCTACAGTTACTACAGACTGCTCTGGGGAAGAGTGTGGGGTGATCCACCTTACCTTCTTCTGGCTGGAAACACAAGCACCCTACAACCTTTCTCATTCATTGCCAAATGGCAAGAGAATGAACATTGGGAATATCGATACGAGTTGGCCAGAAGGAAGCCCAAGTTTTGTCTGAGATCATGACCCCATCTTTAATGTTCATGTGTTGTGTTGACAGGGGAGCACCTTCGGTAAGCTGGCTTTTGAAGGAGGACCAGAAAGAAGACCCTAGGGTGCACATAAATAATTGCCGTAATAACACGAGGCAAAGCTGCAGCATGCTTGTTGTCAGGAAGGTCACAGCAAATGACACTGGTTACTTCACCTGCATTCATGACGATTTCCCATCTAATGAGGATCTCATGGCCAAAATTTATGTGTTTGTTAAAGGTAAGAACTTCATTTTGTTTTCTTGTTAGGGCTTTTCCCCTTCCTGGGTAGTGGGAATATAAGCTATGCTAACTGTTGGGTCTGTGCTAGCTAGAACAGGCAATCCAGTTCAGATACATTAACAAACCCCACCTCCCCACTGACCCAGTGTTGGAGCAAACAGCAGCTTTGACATTTTGAAGAGGCTGGATTACATTCTGAGTTTCCTTGGCAGCTGAATTCACAGGGATACACACATGAGAACTGGAATATACCTATCTTGCTTAATTCCAAGACTTGCAAACCAGATTGTCCCATCTACTTTTGTGTCCTGAATAACTGATACACTGACTTCTTTAAAACCTCCTTTTGCTTTTTTTTCCTTTTAAGAATCAATTATTTTACTCCAAAGGGTCGGGTCTCGCTATCACAGTGCTTTCCCTAAGATTCATTCTGAATACCCGAATCCTCTCTCTTCCCCTTCCTCCTCGTTCATGAAACACCCTGACATTCTTCATAATTCCTCTCTCCTATACATTGGTATACTGTTCTGTCCTCCACATCTGAAAGACATACTTAGCAAAGCTGGATGAGTGTATTATAAATATCTTATTAAAAAATAACAAATTTTGAAAGGATTTGGGGAAAAATGGCCCTTTGCTCACTTTTGTTTTCTTTGAGCTGCCTCTCCTCCGTATGTGAGACTCATTGAGTTCAGGTCTAATAATATGCGGAAACAGAAACTTCAGATGAGCATGGTCTTCTGCAGTTAAGTGAATATAACACCCTAAACAACAATTTCAATAATATGAATTTTTGTTAAAAGACTATTCCTGGAAAATTCTGATATTTTTTCAAATCTACTTGACAAATGCATTATTGCACTGTTGAGTCATCCTGGATCTTCCAAGTTCAGATTGTCAGTAGACAGATAAAGTAGCTGACCTTTTGTGTCCTGAATAGGGTATGACACAAACTCCATTGGTGCTGAACAGTGATACTATTCAGTTTCCCACAAATACTCATGCAAATGGGTGAATTTTCCAGTAACTGCTAAAGTGTGATTGTTTGAAAACTCTTCTTAAAACAAAAGCTAAAGAGGGAAGGAGTTTGGCTGATATTGTTTGAATAGTTCATCAGATCATTTGCTTACAGAAAACAGTTAAGCATTTGCTAGCCAGCTCTAGTAGTCGTCTCATGCAGTTAAGCTAGCCAGCTCTAGTAGTCGTCTCATGGTGCTGTTTACTATGGTGAAACCATCAGGAGGCATGATGTCCATCCTAAGGGGATTGTTATATGCCCACACAGCTAAATTAACTTCTGAACTACCAGGTGAACACATCTGCTTGATTCATGTGGATTAGATTTTCCTGTCTTTCTATGTCTGTTGAAAATAGTCCTCTTCTGCCCTTATCCTGCTGTCCCAGCAAGTCTTCCTCTTATCGGAAAGTAGCTTTTTGGTGTTACTTGTTAGTTCCTGCAGTCATTTTTTTTTCTCCCTTTCTATTTCCTTTTTCTTATTTTCCCTTGTTACTCTAAGCCCTGGTTTCTTTATCCACCCTAGTTCTTGTGCTGAGCTGTTTCCTTTTCTCATTACACACTGCTCAGATGCCCCACATCTAATATTGTTAACCCAACCCAATGCCTAAACTACAGGAAATAGTGCATTGAAAAACTCAATTCTCTGTCCTGATTCAGTGCCCAGGCTGGCTATCCAGGACTTCATTACTCTATGGTGGGAGCACGTGCAGGAAATGTTATGGATCTTTTGGGACCACCTGAGCATTTTCCTTAAGAAAATATCTCAAGTTATGAAACGCTTACTGGCGATGGAAGGACTTGGAACACTGCTAATCTAAAAAAAATCACAGGATGTCCTCTTGCTTGCCTGAGACTGCTATGCCAAGGTTCCCCTTAAAAACAGCAAGAGATGACTGTTTTCGCTAAAGCACCCTCAAAGACTCTCCTCTCTCAGATGCAATTTCATTGTGTGATATGCTCTCCCCACTCTACAAACTCTTACCCAGACTCCTATGCTTTAAAAGTTATTGAGGGAAGTGTGGGCAAAAAATGAGCCACCTGGTACTATGCCACTACATAGCTGAACTAGTGAGAAAAGATGGTCAGTGGGGAACCATCTAATACATGTCCTACAGAGCGGGCTGCTTACCCACCACCGAGCAGAGCTCTAGGGCAGCAGTTTAACCTGTGAGCCTGCAAGTGTCTGCTGGGATTCGGCCTGCCAGTCCAAGGAAGCTGCTTAGCCCCGGTGAAATAAAGCCTTATATTCCTCAGCATAGATGCTGTCCATAGGGCATGCTCTTTTTTGCCTGCAGTTCCTATATATATTTGTTGAGTACCAACAGGCTGTTTTGCCAGGACAAGAAAGCTGTTGGCCAGTGCGAGCCCTACAGATTTGAGCAAGGCATTCAGAATGTGCCTGTGAGTCTCTTCAGTATTTAAACATGCCTTTCTAAGGAACTTGGCTCTACACTGTCTGGCCATCCCTAAGAAACCCATCAGCTGTCTCCAAGTGAAAAAACTAAGTTCCCTGTGAGTGCCAGGCAGAGGAGAGGTCCAGAGACACCTCTCTGGACATTTTGTGGAGAGAGAGAGTGCTCAGCAGGGTGTTTATATGGCTGAGCCAGGTGGAGTGAGAAAATGTTGAGCCAGTCTCTAAAGGCTGGAGGTTCCTCTGAGGTTACAAGCCATTATTGCCAAAAAAGGAAAGGGAATGGTATTTTTTCCCTTCATTCCTGGCCTGCTGCTTGACACTGAAATGAGAACATGATTGTATCGGAAGCCCTGCTTATTGGCTATTATTTCCTGTGCTTGCTTCTGTTTTTACAGCCTCCCTGGTGGAGTGTCTAAGCTCTGTTAGAATCTGGCATTCAGCAGCTCTCCCCTCCCAGTGCAATTGAGCCATGACCCCCTGCACATCAGTCAGATCATAAGGGACCCGATGGTGGCAGGGTCAGCCTCCATGCCTCAGCTGCGCACTGACAGTCTGGAGGGAGGGAGAACTCAGGATCTTCATCCTGAATAATTGTTCCCGAGGCCTTTTCTGCTTCCCGCTGCAGCTGCAAGGCCCAGTGATCATAATTAAAAAGCAGACAGCCCCCTTCTCCTGTTGCTCACCTCCTTGTAGAAAATGCAATATACCTTATGGCTGGATTAGAAATAGTTGGACTTTTTTAACTTCATTGTTTAACTTCATTGCAACTCTGAGGGAAAATCTCTGCAACAAAACAGTGTCTGGTTGAACATGACCATGCACTGCTGAACTGAAAGAGCAGCCAAGTGACTCTCTTGGGCAGCTACCAGAGAACAGAGTGAGTCAAGAAAGCCCATCCTCAGTGCACAGACTGTACGTGTCTGGCTAGCAAGCTGTCCCCCAGTAGCAGTAGAGACAAGTCTTGCTGCAAACTGGTTGCCTGCGTAGGAACCCACAGATAAAAAGGCTCACGTAAATGGCATTTCCACTGCAAAAGCTGCCAAAGCCAGCTAGACAAAAGGCAGTGCTGCTTGCTCCTATCTCCTGCGATCGCCCTTCCCAGCTGAATAGATGCTTCCCTGTGACGAACATATTCATTTGTTTTAACCTTTGTGATTCCTGTGCCAAAGCAAAGTGCAGGCTGTCTTTTTTGTAGTCCAATATACAGTGTTTCCTAGGGCATGTGTAAAATTTAACATGGCTTAGAGAAGGCGGAAAACAAGGACAAGAGAAAACAAACTAAGCAAAGATTTTCTCTACCTTCCCAAAGCACCACCCCAGGCCTCAGCCTAGACAGAAGTTGGGACCTGCAGCGCTCAGCTCTTTGAAATACAAGTATTGTCAGCAGAATAATTGTTTCAAAGTAAGAGAGTCCTCAGGGTGTCAGCTGGAAGAGTTCCCTGTACCATCTGAAATGCTGCCTCAGCTTTTGCTCCGATTTCCCCCCGCAGTCCTTAGCTCTGCACCGTAATGGCCTCAGGTTTGTTGCATCTTTTTCCTCCCCTCAGTCAATGCATCAGGAATAGGAGCATGAGCTAGATTCTGCTTTGCTTCCTGCTATCGGCAGCTTGTCTGACATTATCACTAGTTAACTGGAGCTGGTCATATCTTGCCAAACAGTGTCTAGGAAAACTCATCCACGTTTCCAAACTGTGCTTTGATTCCTGTCCACGCACCCAAATAGCACTGCTTCACTGGAACAGTAGGTTAAAGGATGCAGTCTCCTCATCGAAGACATGGGATTAGCAAGGCCAGCAACAGATATCCTTTATTATTTTTTCAGCAAAACAGGGCTGTTATTCTATTTCTGAAAACTAATTATGGCTATGTTAGGCTGGTTCTCAACTACCTGTTTCAAAAAACCAGAAGTCCCACCTCCTCTGACTTGTAATTGGCACAACGTGATTTATATGAGCATGATGCATCAATGATGGCTGCCCCACAAGGGTCCAAGTACACTGGCATGGACTAACCAACTCCTGTTTGTGTCTAGGGTAGTTCAGTCTTTGAATATATACACTGGTGAATATTTTAGCAGTGTCCTCCCATCCACAGCAATTCGGATACTGGTGTTTCACATCTCAGTATTGAGTTGTCCAGCTCTTCTGTCCTGTGGATTTTGGGTAACTGAGGCAAATCCATTTGGAAATTCACTGACAAATCCAGTGGTTCAGAAAATTTGCCACCCCACTGAACTATCTGAATGCTGAAGGCGCTGGCAAAGACAGGGATCACCTGAGAAGTGAACAGAAAAGGACTGAAGTCCCATGGAATGTCATCCATAATATATCATTTAATGAGTTGCATTGATAATTCACAAACTGAAGAATACTACAATGCCCTTCAAACACTTAAGGGCAGCTTTCTTGGGCCAGCAAGGCCAGCAGCAAATACCTAGGTCTTCTTTATTCTGTTAAGCAACATAGTTCTGGAAATGACAGAGGTAATCAACATATAAGATTTTTCCCCCTTTTTTTTACAATTATCTTTCCCTGTTTTTGCTTAGCTCTAGCAAAGCTGTGTCCAG